GTACAATTTCTATGATCGGGTTGAGGATCCGTTAGAATTTCCAAAAGCTGAATAAGATAAGCTAAAAGGTGAGCTCAAACTCGGTAATGATAATCTTTCAATCATCAAGCAACTTAAATCGTTTAGTGTGGATATGTATAGCAATCGAATGATTGATGATAAAAAGTTCATGGAAATTACCACGCGACTCCTATAGAAACATATTCTTTTTAAACCCAGTTTGAGTGTTGATTCGACGATTTGACCTGGTTCATTGGTTGTTAAATTAGTTTTTAGCTCTTTGCTTGGTCCGCAACGCAAGATTATTAGAACTGTGGTCTATACATTACCAACGAAACGTTTTTGAGATCCAAGAAGCGGTGTAGGACAATTAGGAGACCAAACATTAGAAGATTTTCTGAATGGAACCCGCTGACTTTCACAAAGCCCGTTGCGCTAAACCTCCCAGAATCAGGACAACTATGGAAGGTGATTAGGGTTGAGAAATAGTGGATCACAGGTAAGCACGAGGAGTTGAAGGATTTTTCGTCCAACCTTGACGTGTTGGGTCAAACATTGGACAATGTCGATGGCATAGAAGCTCTCATCGAGCTGCAGATTCCTTATATTTTTCGATGCCACTCAGAGTTCTTGCTATTACAGTTTGAAGTCTTCAAAGTCGAAGTTACGCTTTTATATAGAAAAAAATTCGGGAAAATTTTGCTCTTGCACCTAATAGATAAATCTGATATTCATCAAATAAGTTTAACAAAATCCCTCAAGAGTTCGTCATAACACCTAATAGAAGAACTAAATAGATGTATCTCACACTTCAAGTGGTTGCTTACGTCCTGCGGCAGTCTCCTCGTCAATAACCAGTATTTCTAGTACACTAGGGGGGATATCGCCGCCAAAGAGTCTTTTGAAAACGCCAACTTGATCCCAGCTATGGTATTGCTCAGCAATTCGAAGATTTTCAAACACAACGTACGTAGTGACTGTAAACGTTAATTCCGACGATTTAATTGCCATCAAAGCCACTCGCATTGTAGCTGGACAATCTTCGGAAGCACAAACACGTTTCAAGTGTTGCATTGACGCAATTTCGCCTTGAATACGCCATTTTGTTAAAATGATTTCTCCATCTGGCAAATATGGACGCAACTCGACAATATCCACGACAATACTCGTAAATACAGATCGAATCATGTTCCACAAACTAATAATTTGAAGACGTCCAAACGCATCCCATTCACGCACCCCAATACCAATTCGACAATTTTCATGCCATACTCGAGAGGCATCGCTAAGACTTAAGTACGTCGCATTAAGTGAATCGACCATCTCTGTCACCACTTTTGTCCTTTCGGCTAATAGTCTTGTCATCTCAGCGCATTTCATCATTTCACTTGTCGTTGCTGACGCACTTTTACTTAATAATAATGCTTGTTTTAAATGTAAATTGTCTCGCTCTAAGTTGCGCACATGTTGCTCTAAATCAGCAAGTTTTGTATGTTTTGCACCAGCATGAGAACTTAGTTCGCTACGTATTGTTCCCTTGTCCTTACCACCATCTTCCTCACTCTCGTTCTTTTTCTCACCTTCATTCTCAGACTCGATTATATCATCATTCGTTTGCTTCTTAGACTTACCCTGACGGTCGTCGGATTGATGCAGTGGAAAGCGCTGAAAGCTCGTGACTTCAGGCTCAACGCGAACATTGCGACGTTTGTGAGACTCGATCCCACTCTCATGCTGTGCGTCATCTATTTCACTCGGAAACGTGTCCAGTAGCTCATTCAACGCGATAACTTCGGGCTCGGCGAGCTGTCGCTTCGATCCTACTCCATTACTCATTATTAGAGTTTAAATAGTGATTCCAAGTAATTTATATTCTAAATGCCATTTCATGTGCACTACACATACATTTCTCTTCGGTAAATTACATCACAAACGAACTTACGAGTTGTCATCTTCCCTGTTTATAACGACCTCATCCATTTTCACCTCACAAGCAAGTTGCTTTCTCACAACTTTGATCTCGTCGTTCAATTCGTGCGCTAAGCTTTCCATCTGTGCTCCATTGCCCGCGAGTTGCAACGTCATTTCTACGTCGTCTCGCTCAGTCATAGCTTCATTCCAAACTTTCGTGATTCTACGTTCGATATCCTCCAGTTCATCCTGTTCAGCTAGCAGCACGGCGAGATCAGCTTTCAATCCGTCCATTTCTTCTTGAAATTGCACCTTTTGCTCCATGACTTTGGTTCTGCGAGTTTTCAGCTCTGTTAATTGAATCTCTTTCATTGCTTCACATTCTTCTAATCGCTGTAATGTTGCAACCAATTCGTAACGACGCTTGGCTTCTTCTTGAATCAACACTAACCCGTCATTCAATCGCTTTAATCTCGTTTTTAATTCTCGTTCCGTACGTCGAACCTGTTGTATCTGAACCGTCAGTGGCTCTTGTATCGACACGTGGTAGTCCAAAGTCTTTTCATTTAGCCATGAAAACGCATTGTCCCATTCAAACACCAACGTCGTGCCATCGTGCTGCACGAGAAACGATCCCGACATGTCATTGATCCGTTCCGGTGACACAATTTCTACTTCTGTTGACGTTCTATCCAGTATCTTTGCTGTCAACTTGAACAACACATCAGCAGCTTCTTCCTTAATTGAGAAGCTCCACACCACACACCATCCACTCTGTTCACAAAACACTGGCAGTTGAAAGTTTGCGCCAGCTTTGATCACCACACCACTACGCATGACTAAACACTCTTCATACTCGACGTCAGCTTCGACCGTACGATCCGGAAAAATGACAGCGCGATTATCATCACGAAATTCACAGACACTTCGATACGCACTTGAATGGTCTTCTAGTCGCGCTTGAAGCTCATTTACAACCGTTGCGATCTGTTGACTCAAATTTAAAACTAGAGTTTGCCGTCGGTGAGTTTGCATTGCACGCTCCTTCTCCGACTGTAAATGTTTGCGCGTTGCTTGAATTTCCTCCAGTTCGTCCTGTTCGGCTTTTAGCTCAAACGCGGTCTTTTCTTCACTAAGTGTTTGTACTTCTTCTTGCAGCCCTAGAACCTGCTTGCGCAATCTTTTTAATGCGTCATCC